CAGAATCACAGAATCATCTAGGCTAGAAAAGACCCTGAAGATCATCCAGCCCAGCCGTGGGGATAAGGCCCCTCACAAAGTGACGGTGGCTGCCTCGGCAGCGCGTCCGCGGAGAGGAGCGCGGTGCCGGCCTGCGCCCGCGGGTCGGGCCTGGGCGGGTAGCGCCTCCGCGCAAAGTTCAGCCGTGGTTGGTGTGTCAGGGAGGGCGGATCCGCCGGCTAAATTGAACATTTTGAAGCTCCGGTGAGAAGGTTGATAGAACAGACTCAGAACGGCCAAAGTGTGCCCTCGTGTTACCGCAACCTGGGGCCAAGGACTCGTCTCCCGCTGGGCTCCGGGAGCCCTACAGCTCCTCTCCAGAGGCGGTTCTGTGGCTGGTCAGTCGGGTTGACCCGGCGCTGAGGGATATGGTGGGCTTGAGAACGCTCAGCGTGAGGTTAATGGTTGGACCAGATGATCTTCAGGGTCTTTTCTAGCCTAGATGATTCTGTGATTCTGGTTGCCAGCACACGGTTCACGCTGATTGACTTTTGGGTCAGTTAAATTGCATTATTTAAAATGGATTTTTTCACAAACCTGTTTCTAAATTAAATATAAAGCTTTTAAACATACCAATTTGAGCAAAAGATGTATTAAATTTTACTGTGATTCTTTTTCTCTTGTCAGTTCACAAAGCCTGGTGACGACAGCATTGATTATCCTGACCTGGCTGCGGAGGCAGGTAATTTACTAATAAAGCATTTATATTGATTGTGACACTTTAAGTCTTACATAATCTTTTTATTATACATATGAAGGAACAGCTACTGTTCAGTAAATAGATACATATAAAAAGCAAATCTAAAACTGATAGAACACTTTCACAAAAGTCATAACTGACCTGTCCAACTCACTGCCTTCCAGTACTTAAGTCAGAAGGATAGCTTAAAATTGAATTGGTCACTTAAATAATTCTGCACCTACCTAAACTATTCAAACATACTGCCATTGAGACAAACAGCCTTTGTGCATGAACACAGAATTGACTGCATGAAATTTTCAGATAAATGAGCTTGTTCAGAACTCAAAATACTGCAAAATTGTCCTTATGAGAATTAAGATGCAAGACTGTATTAATCATTTGCATCATACAATAAAGAATTTTTACAGCACACTCTCGTTTGTGAATGCATGAATTGTACACACTAGTCTAGATTTGCTTGTTATGGTTGAGAGCTGCTTCTTTTTACCTTTTAAACCTTTCAAACTTTTTCAACTTTTGAACTTTTTTTTTAGGCCAGAAGGCTTTAGCTGATGCTGGGATTCCGTATTCAATGGTGGAGCAGGCATGTGTGGGTTATGTTTATGGTAAGTAATGTCATTTGATTGGGATGTGATTGCATTGAGATGATTGATTGCAGACATCTGTGTGGATAAAGTTTATCCACATCTATGTGGATAAAATATGGGGGATCCCATCTGTTTCAGGTTATGATAGTTCTACAAAATGACATGATTAAATATCTCAAACTTCTTAAAAATTACTACTTTTAGTGATCACAGATCTATGTCTGTTTACTTGTGGAGTTTACAGTTCCATAAAATTGCAAATGTGTTTCATACAAGTAGCTCTTTCAGCAAGATCAGGTGGTATATTTATTCAAGTGGTGCAAAACTCATTTGTTATAAATTTATGGCGATAGACCTGAAAATTCTTTTATGCTTTATGTGATGCTCTGTGTGCACTAAGCCCCACATATCTGCTTGCTCGCTACTCCCTGATGGGATGGGGCAGAGAATTGAGAGAGTAAAAGTGAGAAAACTCATGGGTTGAGATAAAGACAGTTGAACAGGTAAAGTGAAAGCTGTACATGCAAGCAAAGCAAAACAAGGAATTCATTTGAGTGCTTCCCATCAGCAGGCAGGTGCTCAACCACCCCCAGAAAGGCAGGGCGTGACGGTTACTTGGGAACACAAATGCCATCACTCCCAACAGTCCTCTCCTTCCTCCTTCTTCCCCCAGTTTTGTATGCCGAGCAGGATGCCATATGTATGGAATATCCCTTTGGGCAGCTGGCGACAGCTGTCCCGGCTGTTTCCCCTCCCAACTCCTTGTGCAACCCCAGCCTACTCGCTGGTGGGGTGGTGGGAGAAGCAGAAGAGGCCTTGGCTCTGTAAGAACTGCTCAGCAGTAACAGAAACATGCCTGAGTTATCAACAATGTTTTCAGCACAAATCCAAAGCATAGCCCCATACTAGCTACCATGAAGCAAATTAACTCTATCCCAGCTAAAGCAAGCACATTCTTCACCCATTATTCCATACCGTTTATGTTATGATCAGGTCCCACAGTATCCAATACATCCTCATTAACCCCCACCTCCTTCCTATCATTTGATGTAATAGATGGATATCATTCCCTTAGTCTGTGGACTGCCCCTGTAAAATGCCTGCAGAATGTCCATTGAGGTCATTTAGTCTGTGTCTCTGGGCTCCATCTGTTACAGTGCTCACTCGGGACGGGAGAGGTGATGTGTTACATGGAGGTATTGGGCACCAGAGCCACCTCAGGGCAAGTCACTGCTGCATTACCTCTGCTTCCTGTAAGGCTTGTCCTCCGCTGATTCAGGTGGTTCCTGCTATAGTAGTTCCCATAATGTGCAACGTAAATCCTGGGTTACAGAAACGTAAAGATATTTCCATTACAACCTCCAACCCTGGCCCCTTTGGGCCAAACCATCGTGTTTAATGTTGCAGTTAACTCCCCTTACCCTGGCTCCAGGCTGGACTTAACCTGCAGGCTGTGGTCCCTTAGGGGTGTACCTGCTCCAAGCAGAGCCTTATCTGTGAGCCACAGTCTGTTCAGGGCTGTACCTGCTGACACACCCACAGTCACCTTGAGGTGCATCTGTTCCAGCGTGGCCTCACCTGTGGGCCACAGTGCCTTCAGAGATACACCTGCTGTGGCACAGACATAACCACTGCCCGGATGCTTTGAGATGTACCTGCTCTGCTGTGGACTTATCCACGGCTGCACACGGACTCATCCACAGATCACAGTCCTTCAACTCAAGTTCACGCTGGAGTTCCAGACTGGCCAGTACAGCCGTGATACCTGTAAGCAGCTTCCGAGCTGCACCTCCGAGATGTTTCTGTCCAGTTTGCTTTTCTTTCATGGATTCACAGCCTGTTGTCACAGAAGCAGGACAAACTTTTGTTTTTAAAATCTGATGATTTTCTTGTTACTAAGGTTCTTGTACTGGGGATATTTGAGACACATACTCAAGATGAGATTTCAGAAGTTGAAGCTTACAGTTCAAGTGGTAGCATTGCACGGACATGGTGGGATTTCTTTTTGCTGATGAAGTTTGTGTGTGTACCTTATTCTAATGCTGTCTCTCTGTATAAAGGTGACTCAGCCAGTGGACAACGGGCTGTCTATCACAGTTTGGGTATAACTGGCATTCCTATCATTAATGTTAACAATAACTGTGCTACTGGATCAACTGCTTTGTTCATGGCCAAACAGCTAGTAGAAGGAGGTGAGTTGTTCTGCTCTGGGGCTCGGTAATGCATATTCTCTATTTCTACAAAAGTAACTTGAATGAAGAACGGAATTAGTGAATGTGTGAATACTTCAAGTTGTAAATGTCCTATCCTCATAGGCAAAATTGTGTTTTCTGCCTCAGCTGAAAAGGTTGGTCTGTTGTATATACAAGCATAAGACCAAGCACTTTTAAAAGAGTAAGACTATCACTATGAACTAGAGCATTATGTGTGCACCTAAGAAACTATGTCTGTGATGCAGTAACATGGTGTATACGGATATAAATGTCCTATCCTGTGGCATAAGCTGTACGAACATAGTAAGCTAGTTAAGTTTTTTCTGGAAGAATTGTTTGGAGCAGTGCAGAACAAATTGCATTATAGTACTGCAAGACGCTATTTTTTTTTTTTTTTTTTTGTTAACTTGAAGTTAACACAAGTGTTTGACTATAACATTTTTGGAAGAGGGAGAAGAGAGCAACACCTTGTGACAGGCTATGCTTTCAGCTGACAGATGAGTGTTTCCTCTGTGGACTTTGATACCTTCTTGCACTTAAATGCTGATTTTTCTGAAATGGAAATTCTCATTCTATATTATTTTGGTATTTGTAGTAGAGACATAAGTGTTTGGTCATCTGAGATAGTTGCTGTCAAAATAGTTTAGAAATAAAACATTCTTCAGTATCAATATGTCTGTATTGATACCATTCCCACCCCAATTTGACTCTTTCAAAAATGAAGGAGGAAGAGCAGCTAGTAGATGTTTATGTATGGTTATTGTAACCGAATACTTGTTAGTACATAATGTCATTTATAATTACATTGTGTTTTAAATAGCCACAAATTTTATTTTTAGGTTTGGCAGACTGTGTTCTGGCACTTGGCTTTGAGAAGATGTCAAAAGGGTCTCTTGGTTCAATTGTAAGTGTCTGAAACACTTTATACATTTTATTATATTCACAGGTGACATACACCTCATTCTTTTGAGAAAAATCCTCATAAATACCAGTTGCTTTAAGATGTTGCTGTAGATGATTACAAAATAAACCATTATTTTGATCCACGGAAACTTTTAATGACTTTTATGATTCTGATTGCAGCTATGATATACCAATTTTGTATGGAATGTTTTAGAATTAATTTTACATAGTGTGTCATGCTTCTAGTATTTTGCCAAGTATATGTTAAAGGCCGGGTTAATAGGGAATAATGAAAGTATCAGATAGAATACTGAAGCACTGAGCAATTGAAGTGTCTTCCTCGAAATGACACAGCAAATCACAGAAAAAATCTGGGTCTTCTGGATTTTGGCTTAATGCTTACTCAGTTGACCAATTAACACACTTTTCTAAAAACCAGCAACTTCTGTAAACCTTTCTTTCTTGTCTCTTTGTTTTTACTGAAGAAGTAGGGGGGTGGTGGGGTGGTGTTTGTATTTTGCCTTATGGCAAGCAGCATTAGAGCCTATATGTCACTTAACTACAGAACTGCCAAATGAAAATGTCTTCAGAGGTTTGGGTGAGCAATGTTAAATTTAACAACTGTTTCAAATGACTAGGAGTTATCTTTAACATGCTTTATGATATTTGTTTAAGCTTCATTGAAAATACTAGTATAGTAATAAATTTATAACTTGGAACTATATAGGATATTAAGCTGAGGTGAAAAATACCAGAAGTCCTCTGCTGAAAACAGTAACTCTGATAGAAATCACAAAGTAGTGGTCCTTGCCCTGAATCAGTGCAGTGATTATAATGTTAGGTATTTTCTGTTTATTTACTCTTTCTTATAGTTGGGAGATTATGAATGCTTCAAAACATGTGACTAAAAGGCAACATACTATCCAGTGGAATCGTTAAAATATCAGAAAAATGTCTATTTTGCTTGAAATCCTGCCACTTTTGTGGCGATGTTGTAAGGAAAAGGAAATGATGACTTACTTTATAACTGTTTCTCTTCTTTTTAGTTTACAGACAGAGCTAGTCCAATTGACAGACATTTGAAAGTTATGATAGATAAATATGGCTTAGCAAGTGCTCCAATAGCACCTCAGTTGTTTGCAAATGCTGGCAAAGAATATATGGCGATACATGGTATGTTAAAATACGTTTTTTTCATTGTCCTATTTTAATGAAATGATTAAAATATATATATATATTAAGATATTGGTTTTTTTTTTTTTAAATTCTAGCATTCAGTGTCCTTTCTTTTACCCAAGTACTACAACTGCAACATCTATAGCTATGGGAATACATTTGGATAAAGAGTTATCTACAGAAAAGTTGGTGATGCATAGGCAAACAAAACTATCAGGAGACAAAATTAAGGCTATGATACAGAGTGTCTAGTAATCATGCTAATGGTATGGGTTGTAGTAATCATGCTAATGGTATGGGTTGTGCATCTGTAAGGTCTGGGTTGCATAACTCCCTGCATTTTTTTCCTTGTGTCTTAGGATGAGTAGATAGGCCTGGGACTGAATTGTTTGACAAAAGCTTTCAGGTATTTGATTCAATCAATGTATAGTACTAGGCTGCTGCTGCTGCCATTTCTTACCCCCTCACCGGAGAAGGGAATTGGCTCCAAGGTAACAGGCTGGGCTGTTGAGCATCTTTTATTTGCACTTAGTTTTAGACTAGCATATGGAAGAATTTTAAACTTAGATTCTAGTATTTCACTGCAGCTGTTCTGCACCAATAGGAAAATGAGCATTCAGGTTTCAGTAATGTAATAATGCCTCAAATAAAATGCCCTTATTTTCTGTATTTTTATGTTAGTAAATGTTAAATATCCAAATAGGATGTTCTGTTAGCTAAAACTCGGCCATGTTTAGAATTCTTTATCTAATTTTTAGACCTAAGTTGAGTTCTGTGGAAAACCTTGATAACAATGAGTCGCTTGTAAAGGTCAAATTCTTATGACATGGTATTTAAAATGCTGTTAGCACTGTTTGGGTAAACAGGGTAGTTCAACACAGCTTTCTTTTCCCCTGCCAGGGACAAGTCCAGAATACTTTGCAAAAGTTGCTATGAAGAATCATAACCATTCAGCTGAAAACCCGTGAGTATAATGTGCTCTACCTCTATATTGAACATACGTTGCTGTTAGAAAATTCTTGCAAAATTGTGTATTATTTTAGAAGTACTTTGCAGTGTATATTCTTTATTTTGGAATGAGAATGATACCCAGCATAAATTCTATATCCAGTGTCTTACACTTTGTAAAAACAGCTTTACAGCTGCCTAATAGTATGATAGTAGTATATCTACTGCTAAAGGTTGTGCTAAAACTAAGGTGGCATCTATATGTTTTTCTTAGGTATTCCCAGTTCCAACAGAAGTACTCATTTAATGAAATTCTGCATTCTCGCAAAATTTTTGATTACTTGACTGTCTTACAGTGTTGGTAAGGAGATAACTTAGCATTGTGAAATAAATCTTGATTTTTTTTTTTTTGTTTTTTAAAGACAAATATGGTAGGACATCTATTTAAATAAAAGTTTGTGTGTAAATTAAAATTTATGGATTATTTAAAGTAAAACTTCTTATAAATAAAGCAAATGTAGAATCTCTGTCTTGCCCAAATGCTATCTAGATACTTGTTCACAGTATAATACAGCAAGCTGAAATATGTTTTGTACTTTGGAGCTTTCAGGTCATTCTGTATTTCACCAATGTGCATCTGTTGCTGTAAAGTGTTAATTCTTCTTTCCTATACACTCCTGAAAGACTTGTTAATGTTTATAGCCAAGTAGAAGCATTGATTTTTTTTTTTTTTCTAAATTGAAAAACTTTAATGTTAAGTTTCTATTTTGATGTCATGCTTTTTCAAATGTCTCTTACAAATATTACTGAAAGTATCCAGCAAACACTGGTGGAATTTACAGTTTCAGTGGCATCAAGCACTGTTTGTCCTTTTTGTTTCTTGGTTTGTATTAAAAGATAGTTCTATGGAAGATTGGCATTACTAATTTAGAATGATGACATCATTATTTTTCTTTCAATCAGTCCAACATCAGATGGTGCTGCAGCTGCAGTTCTGGCTAGCGAGGAGTTTGTGAAAAGGATGAAGTTACAGCCAAAAGCTGTGGAAATTCTAGCACAGGTGATGGCTTCTGATTATCCAAGCACATTTGAAGGAAACAGTTGTATAAAGGCGGTAAGTTTACGGTTTTGTATTCCCTGATACTCCTCAAGGGTTTTTTTTAAGAAAGTCCTAATGATACTATAGAGGTTTCTGTGACAGTAAGTAAAAAAATTATACTTTGTGGTGAATGTCAAAGTAATTTCATTTGGGCAGGTGGAGTAAGCAGAGGGTATGGTTGTGGAATAAGAGTAACAAATTTATAAACAGGCTATCAGAAACCTAGTTTTTAACAAATTATTTAAAGGCTACTTTTTAAACAATTTGAACAGCAAGAAAAGCATTTCTTCCATTTTTCTGTTTATAAGAGTAATGAAACTTAAACCAGTTTTACTTATTTCTGTAGCTGAAATAACCTGTTGGGTATAGTCATCGTTACTTGCTTAAGTAGAATAAAGGAAAAGACCCGAACTGCAAAATTTCGATCCCACTGCGTATTGATTAAAATAATTGGATGTAAGTCAAACCTTTAGAATACCCAATACTTTCTACTGCAGTCATGTTCTGTTTGGGTTTCAAATGCAATTCTAGTCAGAAGGCTGATAGAAAAAGGTAGCAAAATGGTTTGAGAATTTGTTTCAAGGCTGCTGTTCTGAATCATGCAGAGGAGGAGCAATTTGGCTTGTGAGCAAGGTTGAGAAACTAGAGAATTTCCCACAAAAAGTTTCCACATGCCAACAGTGACACCTAGAATATATTATTTCTTTCTATACAAATCATATACAAATGAATATTAAACTCTGTGATATGTGATACATTAAAATAAATTAGAAGGCCACCTCCTACAGGTTACTTTCATTTACAGGATATATAGAAGCATGTTTAAAATTAAGTGTAGAATTGAAATTGCTAGCTATTCTTCTTGTTGCAGATTGGCTATGATATGACTAAAAAAGCTGCAGAAAAATGTTTTCAAAAAACAGGCCTAAAACCTACAGATGTTGATGTGATCGAACTTCATGACTGTTTCTCTGTTAATGAATTAATTACCTATGAAGCTCTGGGACTCTGTCCAGAAGGTAACAGCATCAATGGAGATCATTGTTTTATTAAAAATATTTATCTGTTCATGTAATTAAAACTTTGAATTTTCTACTGGACAGATTTTTATATTTCAAGGTCTTATTAGCTAACCTCATAAGAGGGAAAAGCACATTACTACTGTAGTAACATAGGAAGACCTGCAAACTCTAAAATTAGTTTAACAAATGAGTGTGTTACTGTGAAGAACTATACAAAGGAAGTTTAAGTGTTGGACGACTATCTGAAAGAGTATGGCTACCTTGGGCAGGGATGGCTCTTTTAAGCAAGCAGAGCAAGGAAATGAAGGACTCTTGTGATCTTTTGCAGTATTATGCCCCTTTTTCAGAGCTATATACTTACCCACCCCAAGATTTCCCTCCATCTTTTTTCTTATTAAAAGGAAATACAAAATCAGACAAGAATTTTCCCTAGAGATCCTTACCAAGTTACTTATCTTTGATACGACTTTTTTTTAAATCTTGAAACATATTTGCCTTTGAAAATACAGAGTTGTTGGCAAGCTCTGAACATGCCTCTAAAGTCAACTGTATAACAGTACACATTCTGTCCAGATTAGTTTAATTTCATCAAAGTGAGTGGATTTACAATAGGTTAAATGGCAGTGGAGTTTAGTTCTGTGTATGCAATCAAACCATTAAAATTTTCTACTGAAGAAGGTCTTGTTTGATTTTAAATAAGTAATACATTGAACGGCTACTTCAGTATTTGAAATATTTTAACGTTAAATGTATTCTTGCTTTGAATAAATAATCATCTGATCTAATCTTTCTCTAATTTGTTTTTAACTAATTTTGAGAAAATATCATACTCTATCACTAGATGGTGTATTAAGTCTAAGCTTTCTCCTCACTGAAACAGAAGTTCATACAACTTCAGTAAGACATTATATTTGCATTTGAATGCTTGCTTTTTACTGTCTTTGCTGTGTTTTTATGGTATGTGCTGTAAAAATGGTAAATGTTGACATTAAGCTTTTTAGCTTCATTCCTTTAATCGAAGATACAGAAGAATCCTGATGGTATTTGTCTATTTGACCTGTAAGTCTTGTGTATGGCAATTTAATAGTGCAAGTCTCACCACCTTTCCGTCACTCTGACTTTAATTTTGAAACTTATCTTGAAACAGTAGACTAATTAGATGCAGAGATTAGTGAAGTGGCTAAACCACATTGTGGATTTGGATGTGCAAGACTAACCTGGTATTTCATTTAATGGCAGAAGTTATAAATACAGGTAATATGGCAGATTTTTTTTTAATTTTTTTTTTTTTTTAGACTTCAAAGTTAATAACGTAGGCTGAAGAAGCTGGTACGAAAATAAAGGAGTAAGACGGGTTAAAAGGATAACTGTCTGATGAAAGCATGGGAACTAATGATCTGGAAAGCTAAGCAATTCTAAGCATTAGTCCTATGAATGGTTTTATTGATTATCTTAATACAGCCCAGGGTACCATTAGCCTTCTTTGTGGAAAGGGCTTATGTCCAACTTGGTGTTCACCAGGACCTCCATCTCCTAAGAGTCACAAATTACAGCTAATCCCTCTTTTTACAAAAAACATAGTTATTACTGCAGTTTCTTTAATAAAATCATGAAAGCTTCATTATATCATAATACTGTATATCAACAAAACAGTTTGACAGCAAATTTAAAACTTTTGTATCAAACACTAGCCCTCTTACTACTTTGCCATGTTACGCTTTTTCCAGTGATATAAGCAAGTCTCATTAATGTAGTTTGGCTAATCTCAATGTGCTCTTTGTAAAATCTGTGGTGTAGTATTTCTTAGGTTTTGACTGACATGCAGCATCTTTGGTAAGTCACAGCAGAAATGAAAAATCACTTAAACCCAAAAAATAACATCCTTTATAAATACTGTTTTGTAGGGAAAGCATGTGACCTGATTGACAGAGGAGACAATACTTATGGAGGAAAATGGGTTATTAATCCTAGTGGTGGCTTGATTTCAAAGGGACATCCTCTTGGTGCTACAGGTATGCAAAACCATTTCATTTAGGCATGCCAGTTAGATATGAGAGAGAGCTCTTGAGCAGGCAGATGCTTCCCACTTGTATTTGTCTGTATGAAACATGAGGGCTTCTTACAGCTAGGAGTTGATCCTCATCTTCAGCTAATGCAGGCATTAGGGAGTTTGACCATGTAGGATTGCCCAAACCAAAAGAGTTGGTGTGTGAATTCCATTTTACTTAATTCTATGGTGCTTTTTTTCTGTTGTTATGAAAGCAGCCTCCAAAACAGCTTAACTTTTTTTCTAAATAATTGCTCAATAGGACAACTTCTGCTGAATGTAGTTTGAATAACTATTTTCATATGTTGTCATTCTTTAAAATTCAGATTTTGGAGACTCTTACTGCATTTGAATAGCCTATACCCTTATTGGCTGTAATAAAAGCTATTTCTGTTAAGCCTTGGATGTCAAGGTATTTATCTGATATTTATAACAGAAGCTCAGTCACCATTTCCCAGCAACATAGATTCTCCTTCTTTTTTTTTTTTTTTTTTTCTGTTTTGCTTTTTGTTTTCTTTAATCTGCTACGCTTGCTTCCAAATGAGATGGCTCTTGGATAACATGTGTTTGGATTTGTGAAGATAATTCACCGTCCTTGTTTGGAAAGGACAAGTTGTCAGAAAACTGGAGAAGAGGAAACCTGTAAAACAAGAAACCTTAATCTACATAGCAATAACAGCTAGATAATCTGCAGTTAGTGGGGGGAGGGGGCGGTACTGAGATATTGGGAAACTTTGGAAGGAAAATGTTCCAGGTAAATGAGACTGTGAGTATCTGTAACAGGATGAGAGTATTATACTGCTAGGTTTGTGGTAGATTTTTGTCATTTACCCAGTGATAAATGTAGAGGCAATTACTGGCAATGCCTCTCCCTACTGCCATTGGATGGGGGGGCAGAGTCATTAAAATGCAGAAAATGACACATCTATAGACTGTCAGCTTAATTTCACTATATAACAGTCTTGAGGCTAGCTGTATGCTAATCAGAAGTCATGTAAATCATCTTAAATTGCCAAATTATTCCAGGGCAGGTTCTACCATGGTACACATTCTCTCCTTGAGGCTGAGAGGATGTAAATGAAACCTGTTAATTCTCATCTATGACTAGAATTATAAAACTTCTTACCTATCCTCTTTGTTATGTTATGGCAACATGTGAAATTTGGTGCATAAAATGCAGATTTATCCTCTGTCTTGCCCAAAGGCCTACAGAGCAGTCCAGGGCAAGGGAGAGGAAGTGATGGAGATCTGTGGATGATGGAGTGAAGAAGAATACATGTGTGTGTGGCGGAACTGGATCGTAATTGCAGAAATAGCCAATGGAATAGTACGGGGAGGCCTAGGGTAATCTGAAAATCAGGGCTATAACGAAAAGGGATTTGCCTTCAGTTTGGGCCTCCCCAAAAGATATATATTTCTCTGTATCTAAGCTGTCAGGAATTAGCTTTCTGAAATCCTATTGCACGTATTCGCTTAACAGCTTGCCAGGGAAGGGAGTTTATGGAACATGCCTGCAGTACGTTCCTTGCCTCGTTTAACCAGCCACTCTCTGTGCTCGACTTCTCAGGCCTGGCGCAGTGCGTCGAACTCTGCTGGCAGCTGCGCGGCCTGGCCGGGAGCAGGCAGGTCCCGGGGGCAAAGGTCGCGCTGCAGCACAACTTGGGCATCGGCGGCGCCGTGGTGGTCACCCTCTACGTCATGGGCTTCCCCGAGGCTGCCAGGTGAGAGCCCCGCGGGCCTTGGCCGCCCGCAGCGCTTAGGCGAGACGGGAGGCTCGGGTTCCGCGGCCTAATGCCCTGGGAGAAGAAGTGGTGGGGTAGCTGAGGGTCTGCCCTCTGCGTGAGGCTGACTAACTGCGGAGGAAAAAAGAGGCCTTACAAAATAGTCACTTTTCAGACTTTATAGAGCACAGCGCAAGAAAATGCACTGCTGAATGAAAATGCGTGTTCAGCATTCGTGAACGTGCGGTTAGACTGACAGTGGAAACTTTCACTGGGGGTTCAGTAGTGATGTCAACTAAGCTCACTCTGTGTTCACTGTACTCCTGTATCTTTGTGCTTCAAAATTTACTACTTTTAGAATTGTTTGCCTCTGTGCAAGGAAGAAATTCCACTGTAAACTGGAACTTGCTCAGAAGTTAGAACTGTTGTGTACCTACAGCACTGCAGGTGTATACAGAGATTATAATGTTCACCCAGCATCTTAATCCTGATAAACAGTATGCACTGTGAGTTACAAGGTATTGAAAAGAGCAGACTGGCCCATAAAAATGGCTCACGTGATTTTCTGTAAGGAGAAGTCTAATGCTTGGAGGAAAAAAAAAAAGCTAGCAAAACAAAGAAACACTTCCAAGAACAAAATAGGCCACATAAAAATGAATTAATTGAAACTGGGGACTTGACAAGAAAAGACATTCCTGGGAATAGGGATACCCACTGCCTTCACTGCTAAAATTGTTAATAGTTGGGTTTTATGAAGAATTGTTGTCAGCTGCATGTGTTACATGTGGTATTTTAAGTACTTGCTAGAATTCAGGCATGTTACTTGTCCAGTCCTGACTAAAGAATTTGCACTTGGAATTGTAGCATCCATCAGAGTGAGAGGAGAACTCTGGTGTGAAGCTGTCTTTTAGTCTGCTATAGTTCTATGCTCAGATGGACAGGAATTGAGAGGAAATACTTAAAATTTGTAAACATAATTTCAGGAGAGGCTTTTTTAATGCACTGTTGCCTTTACGTTTTCACTTTCAACCTTGCTTAGAAAGATTGAGCCACTCTTTTTTGGGTTTTATGGTTTTGGTTTTAAAGCAGAAGGGTGACAGTATAATCAGTGGAAGAGGTAAGGAGAGAAACAGTTGAATTTTGAAGGGCTGCAGCAGTAGCTTTTGTAGTACAGTGTCAGAAGTGATAATCTTATCACTACTGTAATCTGTAAGCAGTTAGACCATATGAGAAAATAGGTTTGTTACAGGAAAAAAGATATCTTCCCATGGATTCTCTTCAAACATGCTCAAAAAATTTGGCAGTGGGGTTTGGTACACAGTTTTAAACCTGAGAGGAAGATTGTTACAGGAAGTACAGTATTTTCCATTGCTTTGAGCTTTTTCTTTAAAAATACTGTACTTTAATGAAACAGGGAATCTGTTGCTATTTGTATACTCTTTGCCTTGAGGTACTGCTAGAAGTCTAACTTACTACAGGTTGCTTCACCTACATTGGTATTAAGAATTTTAAAACTTCTTTCTTAAGAACAACTCAGAAAAGAGAAATCTTAGCAATACTAGTTTCATCTTACATTAGAGAAGCTTAAAAACCTTTAGCTCTCCCAAAGACTTTGTGTGCAGGAGATAAGGGACACAAGGAGTTGCACTAATGTGTATCAGACTTTGGAACAAAACAGTGCGGCTAATCTGTTCAGACACTGCTTATGTAATTGAGTCATGTTGTGTATTGTGTAATTAAGGGAAAGGTGGTGGCATTTCATGTTTATGAAGATACTTCATACCCTTTTTTCTACAGCAATGGAGGTAGACAATCATTGGATTCAGATCTAGCCTGTAATTAGTGGCTTTAGTAATAGCTGCCAAGAATGTGTACATCAAGGTAAATGACAGCCAGACTTGATCCATTTTGGATTAGTCTTTGAAACAGTTCTGCTTTTTTTTTTTGACACTTTACCATTTTACATCTTGTTAGTACAGCCTTGGTTTATTAGTAAAATTGATGTCTTTTTCAGATGAGACAGTCTCTACTGTTGCTACCTTACTTACAGTACTTACAGATGTACTTACTGTACATCTACTTAGCATCACACAAATAAGTTCTAGCAATGTTGCTTAAGTGATTCTGTCACTTTAACAATGTAAAACCTGACCACAGTTTTAAACTCTGTTACCAAGATATGGTAATAATTGTAAACTTGTTTTGCTTGAATTGCCATTTCTTTGGACATCTCTGTACTTCAGTTCTGGGTGCCTCTTCAAATGAAGAATAAGGTTTCATGCCGCTATCAGGTCATGCAGGATGACTGCTTCAGAAAATCAGGAATAATGCTTAATAGCTCTTGTGACAGTTAAGAGACCCACTTGAATTGGGAGGGAAAAGGGGATTTGTTTTGCCAAAAGAAAGATTTCTCTGAGATGGTGAATGTGCGGCACTCTCTTCACACAATAGTGTAATGATTTATTTTCATTATAAAATTAGGGTCCTGTCTGTACATGCAAAAACATCTGGATACTTGATTGTAATTCAAGCTATGAAGGCCATCAGAGAGTAATCTTCACTTTGATATCATATATTGCTCTATACTCATAGAATCACAGAATGGTTTGTGTTGGAAGGGACCTTAAAGATCACCCAGTCCCACCCCCCTGCCATGGGCAGGGACACCTTCCACTAGCCCAAGTTGCCCAAAGCCCTGTCCAACCTGGCCTTGAAGATACTGCTAAAGTGTTTCAGTGTGGCTGTTCTCACTGGTGTTAGGTCTAATCATACTAATTTGAAGATACTGAAAATGTGATTAAAGGTATGTAAATGAATGGGTTTTTCATTGCAGCACTGGCCGTATTGCGGCTGTGCCTCTCAGCGCAACTGTTGATGGATTTAAGGCACATTTGGTCTTCAAAGAGATTGAAAAGAAGCTCCAAGAGGTATTTGGCTATTGATTTTTTTACTTAAAACAGGATTTTAATTTATGACAGAACATGGTATGAAACCTAATGGGAATATAGTAGCATCAATCACTTCCTCAGTACTTCTCGTTGAAACAAATGTTACAGCTTTGAATTTTGCTGTGTCAGAAATCTTTCTACGCTGTCCCATAATGTTAAATCATTTTTTCTTTAGAGAGCTACTACCTGTTTAAGGGTATTTCACTAAAAGCAAGTTTAGGTTATATGTGAGGGGCTTGCTAATTAACACACAAGAAACTTTGTGTTTGGTGTTTGTTGCTCACTTTATAAGTGTGTTTAGAAGAAATCACATTTTGTCAGACTTGCATAACGACAAGACTGTTAGGACAGTGGTTGTTTTTCTTAGTTGATAGCTTTTAATATAGATAGTCATAGTCTGTGTTTGTGGGGTTTTTTTATTATTTTGTTTTTATAATGGTTGTTTAAGTGATGCCTAATAGAGGGAAATAAATACTTCTATGTTGGTAGAAAGGGTAAAGGTTTTTGAATGACTTTCTGTTTAATTCAAACTACTTTAAAATTATTTTGAAGTAAATGAATAATTTGCATATTATTACATGATCATTACAGGAAGGAGAGCAGTTTGTCAAGAAAATTGGTGGGGTCTTTGCCTTCAAAGTAAAAGATGGTCCTGATGGGAAAGAAGCAACTTGGATAGTAGATGTGAAAAATGGTAAAGGGTCTGTGGCAGTTAATTCAGGTCAGTGCTATTTTATTATGTCATTTCAGGAAATACATACAACTAATGACAATAATACAAATTCATATTTTGTTTAACCTGTAGTGACCTTGAACAAAAGTGGTGTAGATCTATCTTAGTTTTAAACTTTTCATATTACTGACATTTTAAATCCATGATGTTTTGGACCAAGAAGTAAACATCTTCTACTCTGAATTCAATCTAAATAATTGTATATTTTCTCAGAGACTCCAGACATACCTGTCATATGACTTTCACAGGAATCAAAGCTTTTAAAAAAAAAAAAAAAAACACCAAAAATAAAAAATTTAAACCTGAAGGGTTTTGTTGTTCTTGCCTTTTAAAATTTGGGCCAGAAATGTAACTTGTACCCATTTCTTTGGTTGCTTTGTTGGAGACACTGGTAGGTCATAAGCTGGTATGTCTTGTCAAGTTACTTCTCCTCTGCAGATAGTTAAGCAATAAAATTTGACTCATTTCAGTACTGTACCAGCTGACATAAACTTCCAAGTTCTATTTTTAAAAAGGCAGACAAATTTAAGACACAGACTGGTGGTGGGGAACCCATTAGAAGTATTGGAAACAAAAGATTTGTACCCTTGCCATGAAAATGTCTTGTCTTGTATGTGAGCTCATGCATCCTAGTAATGCAAATAAAAAGCCAAAGGCAGCAGTCTGTCCTCAGAATCTCATATATCTATGAACATGTATCATAAAGTTTTTTAATTAAAAACATGACAAGATGAATGAATTCCAAATCAAATCCTAAAGTTACTATTAAAAGAAAAGCAGTGTTTTCTGTTGTATGGACAACATTTTATCAAAGAGGTAAGTTTAATAATCAGATGAGTGTAAGAGATATGTGCATTTTTTGGCTCTTCGGTATATACATTAATATTTCTATCAGAACTTAAAGTAATTTTTCAGCTTATTTCTGGTAAGAAGATGCTGAAAACTTCTGGATTTGAATTAATTCAAATGAGTGCTCTTAGAATGCACGTGTTGTTCACCTTGAAGGAGAGGGCAGGAAATGCCTGAAATTTGTGATGAGTATCTTGAGAGTGTCAGGGGGACAATACATTTATTCTGAGTTGATTGTAATGCTAGTAAATTTAGGCTTGATAAAACTTAAGACCATTGTCAATGCTTGCAATTAACATTGTCTGATTACAAGTAGATTATTATTTCTTTTCAAGAAATGAATTTGCTTAGCACCTTTTAGAAAGGTCCATCTTTCTTCAGGGTTGGACTGGTCTGTGCTACAAGGTGGCACAGATGCCTGTTGGCTGTTGGGTAATCTCTTGCGATATTTTCATAATAGCTCTTACTTGTATGTACTTCGGGTACTGTTTTGCTAACCTGTAGTATCAACAGGTTATTCATGGAGTTGCAGCTTCTGTTACTGTTGAATCTCTCAGTTTTAATCTTCATAGTCAACTCTGTCTTACAGATAAGAAGGCAGATTGTACAATTACAATGGCTGATGCTGATCTGTTAGCTCTCATGACTGGCAAGATGAATCCTCAGACTGTAAGTATAGCAAAGATGAGATGATAAAAGAACAAACTTGTTTGTTTTGAGTGTGTTTAAGTTGAAATAATTTTAAGTAAATTCCATCCTCCAAAACTGCCATGGCTGATAGGAAAAATGACAATTCTTGACTTTCTCTGAACAAATTGGCCAAAGTAAGATTAATCAAGAAAGACAGCATCTACTCTTCTGAACAGATACATATTAACTCAGACATCCTGTAGTAATCCAGAAGGGGGGGATATAATAGTACTTTGTTTGCAGGGAAGGGAGGGAAACTAGTGTTTGACTTAGGAAGGGAGAAATGTTGGCCCTCTTGTTTGAAGGGCTTTACACTCATAGCTGGCATTAGTCTAAGGAATAATCAAGATGCCAAATAATAGAAATTGAGGTGAGCATTCACTGAATGCCTGTGATTATTTGAGGTTTTTTATTCCTCAGTGTCTTAAAAGCAGCCATAGTATACAAGTAAACCAGATGTTTAAGTTAATTTCAAATTGCTGTTCTGTACTTCTAAATCTGAAATGCTCTAGGTAACATTCTTTTAAGTTTTTGGCCTGGTAATCATGGGGTAAATAAGAATTTTCACAAACTGAAGTGTTGTCTAGGAGAAGTTTGAAGGTGAAACACGTTATCGAAATGTTGTTATGTACATGTAGGAAATTCAGAAGCAATTGCAACTTTATATTTACAGTTTGGATATTTTAGTGCATGCAGTTCATGTTTTTACAAGGTCTGGAGGAAAAAACCCAAATCTTTAGCATGTCTGCTTCACAAACTAGACTTTAAAAATTGAATTCATCAGTGACAATTAGTAATGGCTGGGGAGGATTTGAGTAAGAAATCAGTTGTGCCATTTAGTGTGCACTATTGCTTTATTGTCTTCAAGTGAAATACTGAACTTTTATATGAACTGTCATCACCAAAACATTGGGTGTTCTGCCCTGCTTTGTATACAGATCCATCATTACGGTAGTCCAAGAAACAAGCAATACCAAGTTTATTCTCTTTAGGTACCACAAATATAATAAGCATACAACTTCCTCAGTTTACTACTCAGAAAATACATTTGTTGATGATTGTGAGGTGTCTGTAGGCTAAGACCTACACATACGTAACAGCCCAAAACTTTTGAGAGGGGTGCATTTGAAGTAGTACGTTGTGTTGCATTTCATGTGGTCTGTCTTTCTTTTTAGGCATTCTTTCAAGGAAAATTGAAGATTTCTGGGAACATGGGCATGGCAATGAAACTTCAAAATCTACAACTTCAGCCAGGCAAAGCTAAACTTTGAACTTACTAGGGTAAATAGTCAGTATTTTGTAGTCTTGACAAAAAAAGTAGAATGAAACTAGACATTATCAGTAATATGGTGCAGGCTGGGTTTGATAGGAGCTCTCTCTCCTAAATTAATTCTCTTGATAAATTCCATCAGTTTCTCTATGGCTCAGATTTTTAGGCTAAGCTTGAGGCACTAACTCTTACGAATGGTATATGGTGGGTATTCGTGACAATTTTTTGTTTTCATCAATAAGAAAAATTTTATAAAACTTAAGAGTCAAATGAGGCTGCTTACGGTTGTTCAGGTTAGTTGGGAAGAGAGTGAGGAGGGTTATAAATAGCTTGACATATCAAGTAAATGAGTTGCATTTTTTAAAAGCCGTGATAGCAGGTCATACGAATGCTTTCAGACTTCCATTCTAACAAATTTGCTGCTGCTTGAATTAAAATGGTCTTATAAAGGGGATCTCTAACATTTTTTTTTTTAGAATAGGCTTTGGGAATTTGCTATAAAATACTTTTCTTATTACTACTTTGCAATTAAAAAAATATCCAGAATTAAGTAGGAACTAGAACGTTGCTTTGAGATTCACAGGATTTGGTAATACATCACCTTGAAAAAAGATTAGGTTTGCAAGGAGACCAGTGAAGGAGTATCACCAACATCTTACCTGTTTTCTCCTGAGAAAATCTGGTGTTGATCATTATGGATTCCCATCAGTAATGTAAAAAGCTTTAACTTCTCTTTTGGAAAAATGTATTCTGGTTGGAAGTTTAATAGAAAATTAAATATACTTTTCCTGTTCTTCTGTGTGTTTCTTCCTCGGATTTATAAACGTGGATTTCATGTTAATGCACTGAATTGACTGTTTTATGCAGGCTGTCATGAAGGGTGCCTGCAGTCATCCATTTTTTCCTCCTCAGGCTTTGTCAGTAGATACTGGACTGAGATACAGTTTATAGAGTATATGCATCTCACATTCTCACGTATGTGGGCCATGACTGAGGAAAATATGCATAAACTTTCATTTCCTTGGTTTAACTAAAATCCTAATAAAAATGAGCTAATTCAGGCCAATCATTCTGCTTTTCTAGTGTGAATGGTTAACAGATTGATGAGCACTAAGAATGACTGTACTCAGACCAAAAATCAATCTAGCCCACTATAATTTTTGACCATTGATAGCTTGGAAGGAATATTAAGATGCCCCCAACATATGTTTATCCAGAATACTTCCCTAGCTACCAGTGATTTCCTCCCCCCCCCTCCCC